GAGAGAGAGAGAGAGAGAGAGAGAGAGAGGGGGGAGGGAGGATGCGGGATGGACTATCGTTTGTCAAAATTCCAAAGGAGACCTTTCAAACGCCCGTTTCAGGACCCTGGATAAACTGCAGGTAAACCTTTTGGAGACACAAGAACACTAAACACTTTGATAAATTCTCAAACCTACCAACGTTTATTAACTTAATTCCTCACTGAATACCAGACGAATTTTGCAAACTTAATTTTAGACGAGTTTTCAACCAGCATACCGATGGGCCGGGAGATAAATTCTTCAACTGTGGGTAATAGTTTTAACAGAAACCTTTTGCCATACTTCATATGCAACGTATGTCGTTTTGTTTTGACATTGTAATAGATTTCTCGCATCAAATTTGAAAACAAACTTGAAATATCCATATTTTATGATAAAGTAAATAATCGATACTTTTGTTTTACAATAATGTAAAACCAGAGGTGTGCCGCGAGATTTTAAATTCTAGCTAGAGCGCATTCCGCCGCTGTGCCAAGAGGAGCAACTTTCAAGCTATGGTGGAGCGAGGATGCGCAACGATGTATTGATTACGGATAGGAGCGCACTTTTGCTACAAGTTAGTAATCCACCTCGCCTCCTTGCGGCGCGCGCCGCGTCCGGGATGCAAATGGGGCAAACGCAACGACCTTGCTGCAGACTCCTCCCCTCCTGTTCCCCCTCCAAGCGTGGCTCGGAGCCCGCGCAGCTCTACCCGAATTTACAGGTTAATGAACAGTTAGATTGCATCGCAACAAGCCTGTTTAAACATTTGTCACCTGAATCGGGGAGGAGAAGGGGTCTCAATGGGTGAATAGTAAGCACAATATTTTCATAATTAATTTTAATGTTTTAATTGTTCACGATTCTGGTACATTTAAGCCACGGAAAACTTTTAACAGCACTAGTTTTACAATAAAGAGGGGAATACATCAAATGAGGAAAAATGCGAATAGAATATTAATTCGTTTTTGCCTTTTCGCAATTACACACTACAAGGCGCGTTTATGCAAAATGCAAAGAAGGCAATAAACTTATCAAACTACAACCTTACTGCTATCACAAACATACTTCAGGCTGGCGACAAGCGAGACTAGCGTGTACATACAATAATTCAACAAGGTCTAGAATAAAATTTTACCTCTACAGTTTCTTATATACTCTTAGATGAAACTATAAAGTTTGTTTACATTAACTATATTTAAATGATTTTGGTAATTAATTTATTAAAGTTACGTTAATTACAAACCACTACATTTTTGTACTGATCGCATGATAGTATGATACTTAAAATAATAAAAACTATAAGAGAGTTACTGTTACCATACCAACGAATTTTTTTACAAGTCGTTACTACAGAAAGTGAGCAAATATCTTTCGGACTATCTAGGTTTGATGTTGCAGTGCAAGAATTCGCATTACATGAGAGCATAAGCAGACCTTCCACACTAACCTCATCCACCTAATCCCTGTACCATGGAACGAGATTCTCATATATGTCTATCTTTGTCGCTCGAGCACTAACTTTTTTGTGGCCATAATCCTATCACTGGAGGTCAAGAATAGGAATCAAAAACGCGTACTTTCCATAAAATATTTGTTTTGTACACTGTTGTGAGCAAGTAATGCACAAAAAAAAATATATATAATCCAGCAGCGGGGACGATGCGCGAAAACCAGACGTCAAAGAGATCAACGGTCACTGCGAGGGGATGCAGATCGTAATTCACACGGAGCAAGAGAACATTCGAAAAGGCCTAGGTAAAGTTCAATACCCAACTGAGATAGAATAATCTAACTTCCCTAATAAAGCGAATTTTAAACGCCATTAATCTAACGTTTTCAAAAGATTTTCTTCGTTTAAAGTGATGCAATTGTCACATTGTCAGAATAAAAATGTAAGCTATATCATTCTTTAAAAAAGAATTTAAAAAACTGGGGGAGGGGGAGGCGGCTTCGTATGCAGACCCACGCCCATTTTAAGAGCTAGCATTTGTTACAGCTGAATCCACATTAAAAAGGCCTGCGTAAAATTCACCGGTTGATTGATTATGTTGTCACGCTGTGAATCGTTAAAGAGGTCATTATTCCCGTAAGTGTAGTGCACTATTTCGTCGCGGATTGTAGCGGTAATCTTCCCCCGCTGGCTTGCGTGACCCGGCGCCGACGTATTCGGCTTGCGGTGATTTTCCACAACCAGGTATCTCCCACCAATGAGGCACAGTCTCAGCTGAGACAAGGTCTAAGCTCTCGACTGGTTTCCTGACAAGTGTGGTAAGGTACTGCATGTGAATATGTGTGATGATAAGACATGGAACAGGAAGAAAAGATTGCGGGGTCCGTGGCTCGTTTGTTAGGGTACTACTCTGGCAATCGCCTGGCGCTGATCAGAGCAGCCGGCCGCTAGAATTCTCCTCCAGTCAGCGGCAGTATTCGACTTAGCTGTCTAGACAGTGCCGAAAATTCTGCCACCGTCGGGTTCGAACCCCAGGACCTCCCGGTCAGAGAGACTGCAGTGACACCAGTTGATGCCCTGAGACATTTGCCGATGAATAATTCACAGAGGCCCTATGTCAGTCGCACCCTGAATCTAGTATGAGAATTCAAACTATCGAGATCCCGCAGTACAAAGCAAGAAGCGTTGCATTTTGCAATCTCAAGTTCTGCTGTAACGCCTACCCCAACTTCAAAGTAACTACATCGGACCAGTGGCAAATTACCCACAGATTGAAACAAAGAATCATTTTTCTTTGATTGGTTCTCTGCCATTTTCAGTAAAATGAAACTGGATATAGCCCGCACGGCCAGGCAGACTGCAACACAAACAACATTTTCGTTTACTTTCATGAGAGGGGCGCGTTGCGTAACTATTGCAGGATGACCCAAACTACAGATGTCGCGATACTTTAATCGATTGTAACATTTTATTACACCTGAATACATTCTAAGAAACATAAAAAGATAACCGATAAAACATTTTCTAAATTGACATTTTCCATAAATATCTTATTTTTACTCAAATACGTGGCGAACCGACTTCTTTTCCCCAAGACATGATCACAAGTTTCATGAAGTGCGATGAGAATTAGAAGAAAGAACTCATCCAATGTTGTCAAGACTGAAACAATTTATTAAATGCTACTACTCTACTTTCAACATAGATTCTGCTATTCGCGCAATATGTCAGCACGGGAACGGGATCACCAAAAAACGCACCGAAACAAAGTGTTCCGGCGGCAGGCAGAACGAGCAGGCGGCTGCGTGTGAACGAACATATGGTGGCGTGTAGCCAACGCCTCGACGTCCACGTCCGCCGCCGGGCGAAAGTAGCGCTGGCGCGTCGCAGCAGCTGCTCCCGCTGCAGGTTCACGCGCATGAAGAACTCTTCTCCGCTTCTAGAAAGGAAGTTCCCGAGAAATCTGCGACACGCCCAAGATACTTTCAGAAAACGAGTAACCTATGTGGACCAACAAGGCGCGCACACGGAGGAAAGGCGACAAAAATCGGGCTTACAGGACTTTCATACTGAGGATATTTAGCTAATGTGAAGAAAGTAGCTAGAGTAGAGAGCTACAGGTAGGAATTCAATATATCCAGCCACTATTTATTTCCTACACAATCGCCTGGAATGTTAACGTGACATGCACCATTTCGTTCAGCTGCCATCATCCCTTGGAACGGGAAGTTTTTACTCAAGCTCATTATCACCGTATTCAACTAACGTACTCGTCAGAAGCAGACAGTTTACAGTTGGCTTACAATTACGGGCGCGCACGGCTCCTACTCCTCACACACAATTGCACTCCGATCTGCAATTCCAGGCAGGCGGATATGCAGACGTGCCGGTAGAGCGATTCGACTTCCATCGAACGCGACCGACAAAAAACGGAACAGATTCCGATACGAAGCGAACTACGGACGAACGACAGCGCACCGACAAAACCTCGACACCGCAACTCCCCCCCCCCACCTCCTTACCTCTCAACAGGCCAGCCGGCACGTTCATTGACCTCGGCGCGGGCGGAGGCGGTATGGGGCCGAGCGTCCGCAAATCGACTCTCGAGTAGCGAAGGAGCTGGCGAGACGCCGCCGCCGCCGCTTCCTTCCTTTCTCAGCGCGGGCTGGAATGTAGGTCGCCCCAACCTGTGCTGCGCGCCGATGTTTATGGTCAATGAAGATGTGAGGCACCAGGCCAAGGCAGCCACTGCGTCGCGTGCTGTTCAGGAGCATCTGCCGCACCGACGCGACGGGGGAATGCTCGCGTGGCGACGTGGTTGTGAGTGTCGTCGACTGGCGTTATCGCCAGCAGCGCTGGAATAGGCGTAGGCGGGGCAGAGGGGGAGGAGGCCGGAGGCGGAGGCGCCACCCAGAATGGAGAGTGGGAGCTGCGAGAAGAGAGAGCGTGGGCCAACGCGACGGAAGGACCAAGAAGAGCGGAGAGGGGTCGTCTCGAGCAGGGTCAAGCCGAGCAGAGGCGGAATAGGAAGCGAAGGGAGGAAGTAGCGGTGCAGACCGGCGGGGGTGAAAACAGAACCTACGACATCCAGTGAGTGGCCAAGTGATCTCATCCGCGACAGTGGAACACATCGTACGCACACCGTGCACATATACGATCCGGCTGCCCCTCTGTTCGAGTTTGACACTTGAACCACGAATCCACCCCACTCTTCCATGGAAAAGCCGGTTGACATCTGACGTTTGCGCTTCGCCAAAAGCATTAACTCCCGTGAGCGATTGCTAAGGCGGGGGAGTATCTAGTAAGCGCCTTACGCGATACTGGGCATAAAACGAAGTGCCCATGAAGGGGAGGGACATTTCACCTAATCATTGCCGTCCACCAGACGAAGTCGCAAATCCAGCAATGCGACCCACACTTTTTCAACGTTGCGGAGCCCATGCGCAGGGTTCACGACTAGAAGCTTCGAGAAGTGGTCCGCAGAATGAACGCCAATTCCGATCTGATTAGACTTTACGGTGTTGGATAAATAATCCAGATTGTTAACAATTTGGTTTTTATAATTTTTTTGTCGAAGCCTCGGCTTCTATGCAGCAGGTATGCTCGTAATTACACCACAAGTTGTTTATGTAATTTGCATTATACAGGAACAAACCGTGGTTGTGAGCCTGGCTTGGGCCGATAGCAAATTGAATCTACCAAAATGTTCACCGTTGTGCGAACGAAGAAGGTAACGGCTGTCACATATTTACAACCAGCGCAAGGTAGGCTCGTCAACCAAGGCTTCCATGTGTACTAAGATTTACGTTGTTTTAGTCAATTGATTTGTCGTCAATATTAGTCATATTTTAGCGATCTCAACCTACGGTCACATTTCTTTACCAGCCTAAAACCATTTGTTTGGGTGCTTCACTATCACAAATCACAATGCGGGCGCATCATTATCTCGCTGGGTAGGTTCTATGAGGGTACCAGCCTACAAATTTTTCCCATGGACTACAAAATACGAAGACCAGAACCGGTTTAATTCTTAGGCTTTTTACATTAATGGACAATGCATCCTATTAAACCTTTCATGCTGTTATACGGAAGTATCGCTTATAGAGGCAAATTAAAAAGAAAAAACATTCTAAGTAAGGTTTTCAACATCGCAACCCAAAAGCTCTTCTCTACTAGTTACGACTGTTGATTACAACCTAGTATACCAAACAAATCGTCACGAATGAAGATTCACTTATCAGACAAAAATACCCAGTATTAATCACCCCCAAAGGAAATGTTTGTGCATTTCAAAAATACCCTCAAACAAATTTTCATTTTCTTTTATCACTTTATCGTTCCACATAGAGCCTTCAAAATGCTGAGCCTTGAGGCCGGTTACTTGCGCATCCTGGCAACATTTCGATCGACCTCGAATACAAGAATCGATACCCCAGTTAGGACTGGTACACGAACAATGAACGTGTATCACGAAAGGGAGAAGGGTTCTAATATACCTTATGTTCAAGGTAAACCTCTCATTCGTTCTTTCTCGAACGATAAAACTATAAACAACTTACTCGAACGATAAAAATTCAAATTTAGAGGTTACAGTTTGCAAGATAAAATTAAAATAAATACACACTTCACACAAAACATTAACTCAAATTGTTCAAAGGTAATATAATTCTCATAATTGTTATGTTAATTGTGTCTTTAGTTGAACTTATTTCAGAGATTCCGGTTGCCTTAGCTAGTCAATTCAACATTTCTCATTACATTTTCAACCTCACAATTGCATTACAGAATGCTTAAGATGAAGAATGATTAAGCCTCCCACGTGACATTCTTAGTCTTTGCTTTCGTGAGACGAAATAAGTTTACAAGTTATTTATTCCATTCACATATCCCTAATATCTTCATTACTATCTGCATTTACTTAAGAATATTAAAATTTTCAAACATTAAAAAAAAATCTGCATTATGCATCTTAACTAGACATTTCTCTGCACCCAGATTCCAGGGAACCATAAATACTAATGAAGCTCTTCTGCCACTTTCAACCCGTTCGAATGGTCGAGACCGCCAAGGCGTGAGCACAATTCATGGGTTTGGATGATTACCTGGGCGTTGTGGCAAGGTGACTATCTCGACCACCTTGCGTCACCTTTCCAACACTTTCCTGGCCTGCGCATGTCGCATAGGAGTTTGGGGTGTGTGAGCCAGATACATTTTGCATAAGGGCATATTGGCATACACGCCACAGCTAAGCGCTAATTATCGGTCAAGGATGTAGGGATCGGAAATACGGGCCCCGTAGGTTATTTCGGCGATAGAGAGGAAGTGCCATGGTGGCCACGCATGGAGTTTAGGCCAGTCTCAGCCGGCGGGAGAAAGTATATGGTATCAGAATGGTAAAGAATGTATCAACAACCTTAGCAGTGGTTCCTCGGATTCGAAAGAAGCAAAGAAGGGCTGCGGGGGGGGGTACTTCTCTTAATAAAGCTCTTTTATACAATGGGAAAGTTTAGCAACTAACAATTTCTCCGAGTGAATGTGTCCAGTTGACTGCATTAAGAGAATGTGCACGCTACGCGTTGTGACCATCACCCTATTAACATACCACTACACACCGCGCCAAATTAATATCCCGATTTCCCCATGCAAAGCTTCAGAACAGTTTCGCTGAATATGGTGGATTGCCTATAATGACAGTGAATATGAATAATAAATTAAAATTTTAAAAATGTCTACTGGAAGTGGTTGTCGATTTTGAAGCGATAAACACGAACCATCTTTGGCCTTGGTGAGAACTGATGAGACATTTGAGGAAATATTTTCTCCTTGTCATAATTCATATTGGGTCCTTCATTTATTCCCATACTCTGTAATGTTCAAACAACGAGACTGGGCAAGAAAATACTCGAGAACTTTCTTAGAGATAATACAGATTGGTTTGTGAAACTGAAAACCATCGCTCATCAGATCTTCGATTCGCCGCCACTCCCAAAATTTTGAATATTTACCTCTGGAGAAAACTCACGATTCGCACTGTTTGCGCCATTACGAATAACAGGTTTTTTCAGGGTTGGCCAGTCACAATGACGAGCCGTTACGTGCTAACAATAATAAAATAATAGGTGAAAGAGAACGTATGGACCAGATTTCTGAAGTGAATCGGCATTAGAGACTTTAAACTTTCGAACATTGTGGCAGGTCGTGGATTCCAATGTCCTGTCCACAAGTGCCCAGGGTACTATCAAAATCGAACCGCAGCTTTAAAAGAGGCATACTGAAAGCTCACTGTTTTGAATTCTCAAATGATTTCCGAACTGAAGTACTATTTACGATTTATCGAAAAAAATGATTTAATTTTTATTTTGAAAACTTTACTCTCCTGGATACTTTTACAAGTAGTAATACACGCGTTTTGCGTGTATTATGTATTATTCTTTAAAGAACCATTTTAGAATTCTCCTCCGGGCAGCGACTGAATTCTGTCTAGCTGACAAGCTAGCGTCGAAAATCCTGCCACTGTTGGGATTCGAACCTAGGATCTCCCGGTTAGAGGCATTACATCGACATCAATTGATGCCATGAGCTACCTCTTCCGGTACGCATTAATAAAATTACTAATACTTTTACAGTATTTATTTCGAGACGAATTCCTACTTCTAATACAATGCTCAACAGCTGCTTGTGTTTATTGGATCGTCATATTCAAGACTAGCTAAAGTACGGTGCATTGCCCGGGCATTTATTAATAATATTTTTAACGGAGAAAGGAAAGAATTCTTAGTAAAATGAATTCCCGCACCATCATACCCTGTCCTGCCCCGTCACGTCACGTCCTGACCCACGTGGCCTGCTGCCATATTCTGACACTGACGTCTCCCTCCTAATCTAACTCCAATTCATCCTGCCACGTTTGCCACGATCATTGTAGTTGCTTGCGTAATTAAGTTATTTGAATGAATCAATGCATTTAGTAATAAATTTTATTGGCTTTATGAAACATTCAATTAATTTTGGTATGTTTACTCACAGTCTTCGAGATATTTGCAAAAAACAAAGACTGCACACCTAAATTTTGCTCCAAGGGATAGGAAAGTTAGACTGGGATAATTTTTACGATATCTCGTACACACTAACTTTCTCTTGTTTTAAGGGTCACGCACAAAATTTCATTAATATCGGTATAAAATTGTAGAATTGTATAAAAAAGGTTTTGATGTATAAAAGAAAAGTGGACTACGTTTCACTACCAAAAATTCACTACCACCAAAAACTCACTACCTTCTTCAGAAATCTAAATTTATTCAGCCGTTCCGGGTATTACTCCGAATGAACAGTCAAATAGTAAAAAAATATTTAACAGTTTTTATACATAAATTAGTATATGCGATTATAAAAAGGCAAGCATATTGAAATCACACACACACCATTTTACTTACAATGATCTGGAACTAATTTTAGAATGCCATTCCTGCAGTTACCGACGAAGATGCTATTAAGGGGTCCGTGGAATGTAGATATCTACAAATCTAACCCATGAACTCAATCATTTTTTTCTTTATTAGCTGTAAATTACATCTTTTTACAAATGTTATCAATGAGGTCGCCAACAAGAGACTCCACTTACTAACGATTAGTTTAACGTTATCTACTACAAGGGCACAAAAGCGCATTTTGAGAACAAAGGCTTTGTCATTCGAATTTTAATTTTGAAAATGGGAAACTCACGTCTGAAAAATAACCCGGAGAACAATGTCACTGCACTACTTCGCATTATTAACAGAAACTTTGACGTTGAACTGGAGCTCAAAGAATACAAAGCTCAGACTGCTGTTTCGCATTTGTAAACAAGAACTTCACTTATTTGCAAGTTACATAGTATAAGTGAATATTGTACTCATCCCATACGTTACAGTTTTTAAAAGTTCTTGACGTTAAATATTTTTCAGCAAACCATACATTTGCAGCGAATACTAATTACTTATACTAGGGGTGCCGTTTAGGATTTGTGGATTCCAAAAATTGAATCAGATTGACAGCTTTCCTTCACGGAGATGGTGACTAAGTTTTGGCATCTCTTATTTTCATCTCCGTACTGACCAAGTACAGTAACGCTCAAGATAGAAAATTTCATGCAATATATTACATAATTTAATTATCGTCGGCTACCTTATAATTAGGTCTCAGATACAGCGATATCCTAGGATATATGAAATTCCATGCACTAACAATAACAATGACAAAGTAAATAAACAGAATTCTGTTCGTGACAAACTACATTTACTGATAATATGTTTCTTCAAAAACTAACGTAAACGCCGAGTATATCAAACCATTTCAAGGTATAGTTTTGTCTACCACTACAGCTCCCACTGTCCCTTATTCCGATTGCACTAGGGGCAGTGAAGCAACGAAATAGCTTTTCCGACCAGCGAAGGCTAATTAATGGTCATTCCCGACGCAATTCCCATTTCCGACACAATAACAGCGCAATATCCGATGGAGTGGCCGATGAATTTGCGGTTCCGTCTGCTCCCGTGGCGACAGCAGTGAAAATCTATTTCTGTCAACCTGAGATGTGAGTTTCCTTTGCCTTACAAATGATCAACTACGACGAAAGCAAAGTCTCAAATTTGGAATTTTAACCCACTTTTTTTTACCGAACACGCGCACAAAAAGGTACAGCACACTAAGTGCCCGATTTTGCTTCATCTCAACGGAAGCCAAAAACTCTCACCACACTGTTAGGAAAACTAAAACATTAAATTTATTTCTCTATTGAACGCGAAAGAAAACAAGTGAAATTACGAACCTCAGTGCCAATTTACTAGGTACCCATAATAGTCTGTTAATACAGGACGAGCGATTAAACGTTCATGACAAATCTTTAACCAATTTTTTTAATGGGCCTCGAGCAAAATATACAAACCACCACTGCCAAGCGCAGTTAGCTGGTCCCCATCACCGCATGCAATCCCACTGCGTAGGAGAGTGGAAAAAAAGAAAATAAAGCCGCAAACAAACACTGTCACTGCAGCAGCGCAATTCCACCGACACACGCACCTCACTACAACCACCTCTGCAGACGAAGTAACCATCACACAAACAAGCGCCGAGAACGACTGCGAAGTTAACGGGGCCGCTGGGAAGGACGAGCCCGCCGAGCCGCCTTCCCCTCCCCTTCGCCGCTCGCGCGCCGTATCTCCGCCCCCCTCCCCCCCCCCGCGGCGGCGGCGGCGGCGGCGGCGGCTACCCTTCCTCGACGTTAACATTCCCCCAGGCCGCCTGCGACGTGCCTCCCGCAGCACGCTCCACTTGCGAGCCCCGGCCCCGCCCACTCGAGGGCCACCCGCACGTGACGCGCGCGCGCGCGCCCGCGAGCCCCGTACCTGCCGCACCTGCGTGTCCGCGCACGCCTTTTCAGTATGCACTATTTAACGCAACGAAGCTTTTATCTCAACCTCCAAGGCGGCGCTCCAATCGATGATGGCACCGTTTTCGCGCAGACACTATCTCACGTTGACGAAACTCTCACATGTCTAGCAACGGCTCACCATCACACGCCATACCGACGCAAGATGTTTTTGCTAATAAATTTGGCACAGTAATGCAAATTGCAGACAAGGGGAAGAAATACAAGATGAAACAAAGATACCATACTAAAGGTAACCCAATACTGAGCGTTCTGTATTTAGAAAACGAATTGTTAATTTTTATTTCCGTCTTAAGAAGCCCGGGAACACCGGGACCCCGACTGTCAGAAACGACTCAACCGATCCAATCCGTTACACCACTACTGAGCATTTCAACGCACTCCAATGCATCACAAAATACTTAACGTTTGCAATATTTTGAAATTTCAGATGTTTTCATGAAAATGGGACCTAAACCACATAGAGCGAATTATGCGCCGGTCGAGAAAGAAAACAAATGGTGCAGTGTTTAAGACGTTTTGTTTACGCATTTTGTAAAAACAGCTGTTGTCACTCAAAATCGCGAGAAAACGACTCATTAAAAACACGTGACTAACTAAGGATATACTTATGAAAAAGAAAATATACATTTTCAATAATGTAGCTTGAGAGCGATCATTTTTTAAATCTTTCTCGTTTTCGAAAACCGAGATGTTTAATGAAAATCGGACCTGCGCCATTTTATACGAGCGTTCCTTTCTCCATTCCAGCAAAAGTAATAACAGAAAAAATGGAGCCTTTGACACCTTTCAAAAATGCCCTAGGGGTTTCTCCTATAAATAACACCAAAATTAAAAATCCGTGTCAAATTCGAGGGGACGCGAAATCACCTAGATCGATTAGGGAATATCCATTTTGGTGAAAATCCCATGAACAGTTTAGGCGCTCATGACGTTTTGAGAAAGTTAACTTTTTCGAAATCAAATACAAAATTTTTTTTTCTCTGAAAATATCGGAACTGATTCCTGTATCATTACTGAATATTTTTCTATTTTATCTCTACTCTCTCATGGAGTGAACATCCCTGTATCCTTATGAACGAGCAACCCTTCACGATGTATTCGTAAACATTAAACCCACTTTAAGTCGAAGAGCATACGTAGTTAAAACAGGAAACAGGACAGGCAAGACTCAGTAGAAAAACGTGAACGAGTTCCTCACCAGGTTAATGGATGGCATAATGAAGCGTGAAGGTATTTGAATCTAAGACTGGAGCACTGCACATAGGTCGCTTCTAAAGACCGTGTAGGATTACATCACAACTGCACTGAAAATTTCAGGAAGAAAACGTCAGGAAAACTGCGCAAATTATTGACGAACCTCCTATTTTCTAGCTGGGATAGGAATCATCAAGCATTTGCCCAAAACTTGGAGAACACTCTCCCCAAAAAAACCAACAACAACAACAACAACAACAACAACAACAACAACAACAGACACCCCTGTAATACATCTTAAGATTAGTAGAGTGAACCAAAGAACGTATGAAGGAAAAGTTCGAGAATGTCAAAAATATATCAATGTATAATAAATAGCAATGGAAGATCAATTTCTATATTTCTACGTGAGGATAGGCAATTTCTTAAAAATAATATTTTATAAATGGTACAAGGCAAAAAATGTATACAAACACTGTGCACCATATTTACGAGGTAACACGTTTCATTCACTTCGGTCGTTTAGTCATTTTCCTCCTTTTTTAAACATTAGGAGAAAATGATTTAACTCTGACTACCACAATGAGCTGGGAGACCGCCGTTACACCATTGCACAATTCAGATCGAAACGAAAGTGTAACTTAAAACAACCGACTTTAGGAAGGTATTAAAATCACGTGACTACCAGATCAAATATGTTACAAAGAAGAAGAATATTTCAATATGGTAACAAGGTTCCGACAAAGTGAACACGTCTGTAAAATGACGCTTGTGACTAATAACTCATTTTTAACCATTCGATTGTAAATATCGTCGTACCTTCAAATATGGAACTTTTTTCTCGTAAAACTTGTCGTTCTAAATATTTTGTATCCCTTTTCTGAACAACGCAGTCAAGTTTAATAGGACAAGTCCTTAATACGTCGTATGTCTCCTTTTAAGAGGACAATTATTGTCATAACCACTGCGTCAAATAATCACACTTCTAGGGCAGTTACGAAAAACCAGTTCTCTACGCATGAAGACGTTACGTATCATTTTTACTCAAATAACGTAAAAGGATAGCGCTGTATCACAATGGGCATCACTTACGGTAAGGCTACTCTTCTTTCAAATTTTTTCTTTTCAAATTAAAGAATTCAATTTAATTCATTTACAAATTAACTTTTCCACCTCATTAAATGAACTCTAAAACTAAGGATACGCGAGACACATTGTTTTAGATTTCAAAACGCTTCTTACCAAGAGCATCAAGACACCCAAGGCGTAATCAAAGCGCTTCTTTGTCGCCCGGGACGCCGGCCGGAACCGGAATTACACGCGCCACCAGCCAGCGGGAAAATCTGACAGCCGAAATCAATTGCGAGCTGCCAGGCGCCCAGGACGCGCTTTCGTAACGGGCGCTCTGGGAGGAAGGCGCTTCCGGCAGAGGCGGGGGTGAAATGTTTGCGTACAGTCGCGAGCTACCAACCACTAAGCACCACTAGCCATTCCACTAATGAATCGCATTCGGACGAAAAGTTGACAACGCGGCGACCTACACGGGGATTTTGAAATTTTGGAAATATGATCAAAGAGACCATGAGAGTACTATTCGGAATGAGGTTAAAACATGGCATGTCTACGCCCTTGAAAATTACCAACTAGCGTCGTATATACTTTTTATGCTGTTAGCAATACCATTAACCTGTATTTTCATATCCATCAGAACTTCCCCAAACGCGCACATGAAGCTTGCTTCCCAATTCTTCCGGAGGCCGCTCGCGTGGAAGAGAGATTAAGAAAATTCAATGGCGGGAGTATGGGAGCACAGGGGTCCTTAAGATTAAAGGGCGGGAGGACAGACGGTGTGAGAATGAGAGAACAGAATAGGTGAAGAGCTGGAGAGAAACGAGTAGAAGGTTGGAGAGAGAAGGGGCGACAGGGTTTGTGCGAGAGGCAGCGGGGAAAGGGCTAGAGGACACAAGGCTGCATATCGTCATACTAATTAGTACCACGTAACTCAAGATTGGACGGTTTCGCAATGAAAAGAATAAACATAGCCGGCAAGCAGAAATTTAGTCTCCTTTGTTGTTGAACTTATAAATACTGGGGAACTCAATAACAATTCGAGCATCTTAAATAATTGACTTTCATTCATTACTCTTCTTTCATAATTATATTTTATCACGAAGTAAACAGAAAATAGAGGCGGGTATATGGAGTTATGAGAATTGCTAACTAGCATGACATATATGGAAAAGCAAGGCTGTTCATATAAAAGGAAGGGCGGGAGAATAGGAGGACGAGAGGCGGACAGATAGAGTAAGGCGCGGGCGTTAAAGAGAGTAAGGGATCCGCGGCAGGGGCACCAGAAACATACGCATGGCGGCGCGCGGCGTCCTGCCGCCAGCTGGGAGCGGGCGGCAGCGGAAGGGAGGGGCCGGCAAGAGGAGGAAGGCGAGGGAAGAAAGAAGTAGGGCTACGGCGTTCAGCTCGGGGGCTTCGCCGTCGGTCCCGCCCACGCCTACTCCCGCGCCCCCAGGAAGCACGCTCGGGGGCGGAGGCCGGAGACGGCAAGACTGATAGAGAAGCAACGCGCCGGAGCTATGACGACATCCCCCTCTCCCGGAGCCAACTCGCCGAGATTTTAAAAAACTTCAACGTTGATACAAACACATACCCACAAGCGCAACTACGTTAATTTCTTTTATACGTGGTCCGTCTTAGTATCTATATGAGCTCCTCTACAAAAAACACTGGACAGAAGCATTTGGACTGACTTCCTGTAAGCATTATCCATTCATTAAGATTGTTTTTGTTTCAATGACAAAAATGTAAATACTTGTTTCTGTTCTTAATTTCAGTCTTCCAATTGTGTGAAAGAATTCCTGTATCTGTTATGCTTAAGATGATCATTATTATTATTTAAATGAAAAGTATTCATTATGGAACTACCGCGAGAGAAAGTGAAAGGAACGGTCGCACCGAAGGCATGCATATCATGTTCGGGAAGCGCCAAGCTTTTGCCAGAAAGGTATGATCAAGAAACAACCGATGGTTGAGCCACTCTCCCGCAAGCCTTCTGCCGGCCACGCTTTCTGGTGAAGGCTGTATCGCACCCGAGCCCAAGCGGAGAAAAACGCTGGACAACGGCTGCAGTGATCACCATCAACCGACCTGCGTGCTTGGCCATTGAAACGTAACACGGTGTCACGAAAAGAGCAATTACCCACCGGGTTGATCTCCGCGTCTCTAGTTCTAGAGGGAAAAAAGAAAAAGCAGGCGGAGAACGACAAAATGAAGGAAGGGCGGAGAACGACAAAATGAAGGAAGGAGAATGAGAGTGCATCCACAGATCCACTTCCCGTTATTAGCATTTAAGCTGCTAGCGTCGCCCTCGCTCGCGACCCAACGCTGATTGGCTTCCGGTTCTGCATTAGGGGTGCGATGCAGCGGCTGTGACACAGCCGCGCGGGATGGGCTCGCCAACGATTACCACCAGACCTGACGGCACTTTCAAAAGGGATGTGACTGCGAGAGTAGAAAAGATGGCTCCCGCTTCCCGTAAGAAGAGATTTCTCTGGAAGATGCTGATACGTGCGTGCGCCATTTTCACGAAACTGTTTTGCGTTGGCCAAGACGTGTGCCGGAGCTCTGTTC